GAGTATGAGAATCCCCGCTGTAGATTTATGCCACGCTCAACTCATTCTGTACTTATACTACGTGCCTAAACAATGAGCGACATATTAGTTAACAGGACCTCTAGATAATGACTATGCAAATCATAGTTATTCCAAGTGGTGCGACAACATTTCACACTGTTAATCTCATTTACTAGAAGTGTTCCGTGAACATTTAACGCAGGTAACCTCATTTACTCAAATCGCTTGGGATAATTAAGGATAGTCCGGATAGAAGGAAACCAAGACATCAGTCTGTTATATCCGAAGATTGGTATTGAATTTGCTTTTAATAATGGGATACTAGCATTCGGTCTGCTATAGACGATTATTCCTTATGTAACAAATGTTATAAATGCATTTGGGATAAAGCTTTCTTAGTAAAGTACAGCTTCTCGTACTTTTATGGGGTTGAGTCCCGACCGGGATTCGAACCCACACTTGCAAGAGTGAGGCACCTAATCGCCAGCACACAAAGTCAGCGATCTAACCAGTGGAAGCCTCGGTGGCTGAGTGGGTTAGATCGCTGACTTTGTGTGTTGACGATTAGGTGCCTCACTCTGGAAAGAGTGGGTTCGAATCCCGGTCGGGACTCAACCCAAAAAAAGAACGAGAAGCTGTACTTTACTAAGAAAGTGTTATCCCAAATACATGTATAACATTTGTTACATTTGACCACTCTCTAAATGGCATTGTGTATTCATACGATTATTCCTTATCTTGAATTCCTAATCTCCGGGTTTGATCCTTTGTGACACAAACCCATACTTTATCGACATGTCAGACTTTGTGTTAACTGTCGTTACCCTGGTAACTTCTTCAAAATATTCTAGAAGAGAATAGAGTTTGTGAATGTCCAAGTAAGCAATATTACCTCAAGCTGTAAATAATCGAACCTGGGCCAGGTAATCACTTGTTGATGCAGTGAGCAATATTGTCGGGTCATGATGACACACAATCAGGCGTGTCAATCGCAAACACCCGATCATCTTCCTCATGGGGCGGGGCGGTGCGGTAGCCTAGTGGTTAAAGCGTTCGCTCATCACGATGAAGACCCGGGTTCGATTCCCCATATGGGTACAATATGTGAAGCCCATTTCTGGTGTCCTCCGCCGTGATATTGCTGGAATATTGCTAAGAGCGGCGCAAAACCATACCCACTCACTCTTCATGGGACAATGAGAAGCTGACTCTGACTCTACATTCGGAGAGTAGATGCGATTTCACTTGATAAAAAACATATTCAATGAAAGCGTCAGACCCGAGTTGACATATCTTTTAAGGAGTCATTTTCAGTGCGTGCAGTTCTCTAAAACAGAAAGAAATATGTAGTAGGCTGACAGAACTGTTGAGCAGTTGTTAAAAACATTTTCTGCCTTGAAGAGAATATGATTAAATTAATGCTATTGGTCGAAGCTCCATCAATCCGGTTTGGCTTTAACTGTATCTGACAGTTTGCTCTCGATCGTAATCACGTAATCAGATTTTTTCACTCCAGATGCGACAGACCTTCAGTTTTAGTCTGATCGCGACACTCACTGACTGGAAAGCATATATTCAACCACAGTTGCTATGTCGTTTGGCTGGTATTCAGTAGAAAACAGACACTAATTTATCTTCCAGACTTCAGATGAGAACTTGAGTTTAAGAGATCTAGAGGCTTTTTTGTTTTGTTTGTTTGTTGTTTAACGCAGCACTCGGCAATATTATAGCTATATGACGACGGTCTGTAAATAATCGAGTCTGGACCAGACAATACAGTGATTGACATCATGAGCACCGATATACGCAATTGGGATACGATGACATGCATCAACCAAGTCAACGAACCTGACCACCTGATCTCGTTAGTGGCCTCTTACGACAAGATCTAGATTGTCAACACTATAAATTACATTTGTGACTCATCCACACTCACCTCTTAATCTTTCACATACTGATTGAACCCCACTGATGTTCCCCTTGTCGAGGAGGCGGTCGGGTAGCCCTGTTGTTAAAGCGTTCGCTCGTCACACCGAAAACCCGGGTTCGATTCCCGACATGGGTACAATGTGTTTAGCCCATTTCTGGTGTCCCCCACCATGATATTGCTGGAATATTGCTTAAAGCGGCGTAAAACCATATTCACTCACTCCCTCCCTTTGTCTAAGCCCTGGTGTGACCTTGCGTTAGAATAGTGAGTGAGTTAAAAATAATAATTCGCATTGCAAATATGTCAGCCATATTGTGAATTAGAATATTAGAATGGATCGCAAGCACCAAAATGATGATTGTAAGGGGCAACAATGTTGTATCAGGGTCTGCAACTTGGCTCATAGTGCGATCGTTGCTCATATTTTCAGTCACTGATTTGTCTGGTCCAGACTCAACAATGTAAGGCAGTCATGATATAGCTGAACGACTATGGCGTTAAAAAACCTTATGTAATCTTTCAAAGCAAGGGTCACCATACTGATATTAATGCTTGTTTTACTGTTGCGTGGATAATTTTCTGACCATGACGTTATGTATTTACTGCAACCACCGGTAATGAACTGTACGTGTTTGTGTTAGTCTGTTTTACAGCCCATGCAAGTCTATAATGTTTGGCAAGTCTAGATTACTGCAGTATCAGGAAAATGAAGAGAGTCACTGGGCTCCCTTTTATTATATTTTTATCAAGATAACTGAACAATTGTTTTTTTCTGTACGATATGTTCATTTCAGAGACTAGATGTTAGTCTAGTTTTTGTGTGTACAGGTGCGTGTATGTGAGTGCGTGAAGCAGTGTGCTGTGTGTTTTCACTGCAAAATACAAATTATTTAAATACCCTCGGGAAAAAGAAAACCATACCCATGTCGACATAAAAACTTAACTGAGTTAAACTTCAAAAGTGAGGGAATACTCTTGATAATCGTCTCTCTTTATGAAAAACGACATACGAACGAAATGATTACATTAGATTTCTGGTAAAAAGTAAACTGTGCTATCTACAGCACCTTGATCCTTAGTTCCAGGCTATACATCATCAGAAGGTAATAGTGTTATCTCCTTGTTGATAAATAGAATGTCACCATTAAACAAAACGTAATAGTTTTCGAGTTGCCAGTGCGAATTTGCAAGCTTTGCATTTTTCTATCTTCACCCGAGCAAAGGCATCTTCCAATGAGGTGAGGTGAAATGGGGTTTAACGTCGCGTTAAAGATTGTCGCAATCATATAGCGAAGTGCATGTACGCGTGTATGTGGCTGTACGGACTGATGCCGATTTTATAGTGCTGGCCCACTGAGATACCATGACGCAGTTTAACATGAATATCCCGCTCAGACACAGTACACTCTGAGCCGACCAGCCCTTGATTTTGCTCCGTAATGCCAAGCGCCAGGCAAGGTAACAACAAGTACCTTCTTTTAACGTGTTTCGGTGTGACGCGGCCGGGCATCGAACCCCCGACCTTCCGCTCTCAAGGCGGACGCTCTACCACTAGACCACGGAGGTGGTCTCTTCCCATGAATATTATAGAAGATGATTTACATTTTCTGTTAGTATGACAAGTAAGTCCCCATGGTCCCTAGTATGGTGATCTCCCTTTAGCTACTGACGATCTCTAGCCCATTTTTATATTGTGTTGTTCACTAATACTTATGACTTTTATATATTCTCAACTCGTTTTAAATAGACTCTGTGATTGTACTGTCCACCGTTGACAGCTTTTTATATTGTATAAATATATGTATTTTTAACGTACTTCTCGTCACGATATTGCTGAAATACTACCGATGTGACGTTAAATCTTAACTCACTCACTCACTCACTGTTAGTATGCCAAACTTATGATATTTTGAGACACATATTTTCCCAACAATAACTTAAAAAATGAGTACTCCCTCAGAAGTTTACTGCAAACTTTTAACATTGAAACCTTGTTATTATGTGCTCAATGAATTAAGGATGCCCTATCTTTACGTTCTTCATTATTATAATTCTAATTTGTACTTTAATCGCACTCTGTACCTCTTGATATTGTACCACCACTTTGTATATAATACATGTGTCTATAATGTACTTGGACCTTGTTGGGTAAGTGCAATAATCTTGGACACGACGTTAAACCCCATTTCACCTCATCACCTCACCTCACCTCACCTCACCTCACCTCACCTCACTTCACCTCACCACACATCTAATCACCTCACCACTCCTCACCTCACCTCACCGCACCGCACCTCACCTCACCTCGGTGGAGTGAGTGAGTGAGTGAGTTGGGTATAATGCCGCTTTTAACAGTATTCCAGTTATATCACGGCGTGTCAGCTTAATGTGGGAGGAAAGCCCGAAGTTATGCAGGTCTAAGACGTTTACCACTTTGGTGAAACCCACGAGCACGGGTATGGTGCTGACAAACATAGAAACATAATTGCGGCGAACCGGGATTCGAACCCACAAACATAGATTTCTGGCGTGCTCAATGGACGCAACTCTGCAACTCATGAGTGTATATTAAGTCATCAGTAACTAACGCTTTATGCTGAGCTGCGGGGCAGCTGTTTGAGTACAGTTTATTATGTTCTTTGGTAACATGTGAGTTAGTAATGGTACGCGTGTATACATTCGGCAGTGGGTAGACGCATTTGGAAAAAAACCATAGGTGTCACGAGGAATAATACACAGAGTAGGATAATCAAGAGAGTGAGTGAGTGAGTTGGGTTTAACGCCGCTTTTAACAGTATTCCAGTTATATCACGGCGTGTCAGCTTAATGTGGGAGGAAAGCCCGAAGTCATGCAGGTCTCAGACGTTTACCACTTCGGTGAAACCCACGAGCACGGGTGAGTGAGTTTGGTTTTACGCCGCTTTTAGCAATATTCCAGCAATATCACGGCGGGGGACACCAGAAATGGGCTTCACACATTGTACCCATGTCGGGAATCGAACCCGGGTCTTCGGCGTGACGAGCGAACGCTTTAACCACTAGGCTACCCGACCGCCCCCCACCCCCCACACCAGCCCCTCCTGCCATGTGAACAGAACAGACATTTTAGTGATCGCTGAAACAGAAAAGCCAGTGGCACGATAGTGCATCTACGGACTCAGTTGGAACTAATAGAAACGATGTTGTGTTTTACTTACGTCTGCACGTACATGTACAACAATTTGATTGACCGTATCTCGAGCAACTCGAGAACTGACTTAAAAATCCTACGAACCAAAAACCATGCTTTGAGATTATCCAAAACTTCGATAATCTTCGATGTCTACCGTTAAGGTTGATATGATACGACACATTCTTTGAGTCAATCCTGTATTTGAGTCATGCATAGATTACGTATCTAGGTACTTAGCCAAAGCATCCTTCTTGTTGCGCTTATTAAAACGGTCCATGTCTGTGACAAAGTTTGACACCTTGGTCTGAAGATGTCTTTGGTGCTTCTTCAAGTCCGTGAGGAAACCCTGTCTCTGGTCAAATGGCGTGAAGAGTTTAGGTTCCGCCCAGCTTAATTCAATTCTACTTAATTCTTCCAGCTGCCTCCTAGACCGCGATGCACTCTGGGAACGCGTTGCCTCACTGCTGTATGGTTTGCTAGAATCCACCATGGCTGGAACGGACATTGGTCTCGCTAGTCTGTGACGAGACGATGATGTCATCTGCAAGTACCCTTTGGGCCTAGACTGCTTCCTGTTGTCATCTGTCGGTGTTGTTACCGTTACTTTTTGAATAGGCACAGACGCTGGTGCAAATTGTTTCCTGTCACTAATATCAGAAAGCGGGTTCCATTTTGGCAGAACCACATTGAAATGGTTCTTTGCACTGAACCTTTCTCTTTCTTTCTGAAGTCTTCGACTGACGCGAGACGTTTCTGATGAAGATGTCCCGTTACCTCCCTCCTCTTGATCTTTGTTAGATTTTGAAAAAATATTTGAAATTTCTTTACTCGTATCTCTCTGATTAACGACTTCTCTCAGACTTTGGATTTTCTCAACGTCCTTCTTTAAATTTTGTATTACGTCATCCTTGTCCTTATTGACCCGGAAGTGAACTTTCTGCAGAGATTCGAGGTGAGAGGTCAGGTTATCACCAAGGCTGTCATTGTCCCGGTAGGTAACACTGTAGTCGAGTTTTACAACCCTAAGGTTGCCATTACTCGGATAACTTCGTTGACCACTGGCTGTCATTTTAAAGCTTTTAAATGCTTACAGTTGCATTGCTCTTTGTCACATCATTCCACGGGTAGAATTAACCATGGCCGATACTGCCTGAAAAATAGAATGGATTGTAATAATATGCACATATTTGATACTCATCACATTTTCATGTGGACATACCAAGATGTTAAGATGGTGTGACATATCATGGTGTTTATATGATGTGACATATCATGGTGTTGAGATGATATGCCATGTCATGGTGTTTATATGATGTGACATACCATGGTTATTATATTATGCGATATATCATGGTGTTTATATTATGTGACATATGGTGTTTATGTTAAGTGACATATCATGGTGTTTATATTAAGTGACATATCATGGTGTTTAGATGATTTGACATATCATGGTGTTTATATGATGTGACATATCATGGTTATTATATGATGTGACATATCATGGTGTTTTTATGATGTGACATATCATGGTGTTTATATGATGTGACATATGGTGTTTATGTTATGTGATATATCATGGTGTTTATATGATGTGACATAGCATGGTTATTTTATGATGTGACATATCATGGTGTTTATATTGTGTGACATATCATGGTGTTTATATGATGTGACATAGCATGGTTATTTTATGATGTGACATTTCATGGTGTTTATATGATGTGACATATCATGGTGTTTATATGATGTGACATATCATGGTGTTTATATTGTGTGACATATCATGGTGTTTATATGATGTGACATCTGGTGTTTATATGATGTGACATATCATGGTGTTTATATGATGTGACATATCGTGGTGTTTATATGATGTGACATATCATGGTGTTTATATGATGTGACATATCATGGTGTTTATATGATGTGACATATCATGGTGTTTATATTGTGTGACATATCATGGTGTTTATATGATGTGACATATCATGGTGTTTATATTATGTGACATATCATGGCGTTTATATGATGTGACATATGGTGTTTATATGATGTGACATATCATGGTGTTTATATTGTGTGACATATCATGGTGTTTATATTATGTGACATATAATGGTTATTATATGATGCGATATATCCTGTTGTTTATATGGTGTGTCATATGGTGTTTATATTAAGTGACATATCATGGCGTTTATATGATGTGACATATTAAGTTGTTAAGATGATGTGACACATCATGGTGTTTATATGATGTGACACATCATGGTGTTTATATGATGTGACATATGGTGTTTATATGATGTGATGTAGCATGGTATTTAGTTGATGTTACATATCATGGTGTTTATATGATGTGACATATTAAGTTGTTAAGATGATGTGACACATCATGGTGTTTATATGATGTGACACATCATGGTGTTTATATGATGTGACATATGGTGTTTATATGATGTGACATATGGCGTTTATATGGTGAAGTTTATATGAAATTAGTGCCCCACCACACCACCACCACCAACAAAGAGTATTGCTACAAGCTTTGTGAATTACAACTCTCCACACCTCGAAGGGTATCGCTAATAGCAGTGAAAGCCCAGATATGCATACCAAATGCACAAATAGGACTGCTGGAAACACAACGTAAATCTCCACTATAAATGCGATGGTGGAACGCATTCTCACAATGCATGTTTCGTTTAAAATTGAAGTAACACCTGTTCATTCAGGTTCGAAAAATCCAGTGAAGCTAAAATAAGCAAATCAACATAAGCGTCGTTTTAGGATAAAGCAGCGTTTTCAATGAGCGGTCGATAGCTTCCTTTAAAACAAAATCGAAACCCATCACCTGGATATAATAGTATATATAGACCAAGGCTACTACATCTAGATTCTTGTGAGAATACGACACACAGAGACATAGTGTGTGCAAAACGTTATGCTGCAAAAGCGGAATGTGAGTTTATAAAATATATTAGAAACGAGCGCTTCATGAGAAACTTTAAAAATACTTAAATCCATGAGGATAGTGTATCATAAACATTTAGAAATCAATATAAAAACTTGAATTTATCAATCCCACATTTCAAGCAACACTCAGGGCATACAGTGTACTTTTGACAATAACACATAATAGCACAATCACAAAATCGATATATTATCACTTATCAGTATATTATCATGTACCAAATTCAACCTGTGCCTCTGCACTATTTTTTGTCCTTTCACGAGATATTTATTTCATCCGAATTGAAAAAAAGTAATTCCCCAGCACGCACTTTTGAAAAAAGCAGAAAGCTACCTTCTCTCAACCGAATTAGACATAGGGTTAATTAAGTTTCCCCTCATTGAGAGCTGTTGTATTGACTCTATTATGAAGCCAGTGAGTTATTTAGCAGGGTTCATTGTCCACTAAGACCACCTTTGCTTCGTGCACGAAATGTAATCATCTAAACTATGGCTTTCAATCATACACAGTGGCATTGAAGGGGAAATGCAATCATACGCTAGTTTCAAACAATTGCAGATATTGCTATTTTCTACTGAGGGCAGGTTATGATGTCGAGAAAAATCCCCAGGGCTTGTCCTACGCTACTGCATCAACTTGCCGTGGAATCCATGACGAATATGTACGGGGATATTGTCTAAATATTTTAGGATATGCCTCGTAGGTTATTGGGTGGGGACATTTATTAGTCGGTTGCCACTACAAAGTGGTGTGCTATTGGGGATCGATCGATAACATAGCTTAGCTTAAGTGTAATCGAATGCACTTTTTATCCTCTACATTCGGTTGGGCTGTCAAAGCGAACTCGAGATGGTTTGCAATATTTCATTAGAAGTTAAATAAATTGAACACGTTTAATTATTTACTTCGTACTTTATTTTAATTAGATAACGCATGGACACTGGAGAATGTTTGATACTGATTGGTCAAAATTAGGTACGCATTCCGTTTGATACCTCAAAATCAACACACAATTGTAATAGAGGTATCAAATCTACGGTAAGACGAACTGGAATAAAAAACGGTAGGTTTAGTTTCCAAATGATTCAAGTTTCATCACGACAGGGTAAACGTTAAATGAAGGCAGACAGTTGTACAGTTGACTCCGAAATTCGAGGCAAAAGGAATGGCGACGACAGACGATATCATTTATAAAGATTACTTGATATATCAATTTAATGGAGCTGCATACAGTAATGCTCAAGTGGACACAATCATTAATATATTTTTTCGTTCAAGGCTTCAAAACGAAAAATGTTTTGCTTTTTTACATATGTCAAGCATTTTTATTTAACCTGTATTTCATTCCAAAATGTACAGAGGTACGTTTCCGGAACTGCGAATCAGAGGCAGATAATTGTGAGCAGTAGTGTACTTGACAACGACATGCATTGATTCATATAAATATTCATATAAATATTAGCAGTCACATAGATATAATTCAACAAAGGAATATAACACGAATCATGGCAGACACGTACTTAGAGGTGACATATATCCTGATAGCGCCATTCAACTATGAATTATACCTGTCCTAAAAGATTGAGTGAGTGAATTGGGTTTAACGCCGCTTTTAACAGTATTTCAGTTATATCACGGCGTGTCAGCTTAATGTGGGAGGAAAGCCCGAAGTGATGCAGGTCTCAGACGTTTACCACTTCGGTGAAACCCACGAGCACGGGTATGGTGCTGACAAACCTAGAAACATAATCGGGGTGAACCGGGATTCGAACCCACAATCATAGGTTTCTGGCGTGTCCAGAGGACGCAGCTCTGCACAGCGAATCGCGGCGCCTTAGACGACTGGGCCACCCGTGCCCCCTTGTCCTATATGAAGGCGAAAGGTGCAATCATGTGTGTCCGCAAACACGCCATGGACGCTTGGATACCTCCATCCCTTCTACATGCGGGGAAGCACTTCACGTTTCATTACGCAAAACGGGTGACGGGCGCCTTAACGTGTGTGGTAAGACGTTAACGAAACCCTCAACCTTCAGACAGTACACAAATATTGTCGTATCACTTTACTCGGCGACAATGACTGTTTGGTAATCGCCCTGGTTTGGGCAGAGAGTACAATGATGCACAGTAAATAACACCAGGGAGGGTCGAGCTATATGCGGATTCCTAAGAGCGGAGCATTCCAGTGCAAGTGGTTTCAAATGGTCATTGGAGGAAATGATTGAAATTCAATTCAAATAATACTGCATTAACGTTGCAGTTCACAGCATGTTGACACTTTTTCGTGTAGTAGCCTCACATTACTGTCATAACTACTTTATTCTGATAAAAATGATTTTATATTTTACTGAGATATTCCTCTATTATGAAGGTGGGGGGATGGGGGATGGGGGGGTCGGGGTGCACGGCTGGTCTTTGGCATTGTGGGCACGCTACAATCCTGGTTCGTCCCCGATATGTTTCAAAGTTTGTGATTACCCCGTGTTCGTGATTTTACCAGAATGGTAAACGTCTGAGACCTCCCACATTAAGCTGAAACGCGTGATATAAATGAAATAATGTTTAAAGCGGCGTAAAACACAACGCACTCACTCACTCACTCACTCACTCACTCACTCACTCACTCACTCACTCACTCACTCACTCACTCACTCACTCACTCACTCACTCACTCACTCACTCACTCACTCACTCACTCACTCACTCACTCACTCACTCACTATGATAAGTGGTGTGTTCATCCACAGCCACAATTAAATTCTGACAGGATCGCCGGGTGATACTAGCTTGCAGACTCGTGTTAACTCTTTTTTCTACGAAGACATATTTTGTTAAAGCTAATCAGCTAACAAAGCAAGACCGCGTAATGGAAACGTATGGATTATCATGTAATCGTATTGATGTTAAAACCATATAAACGAAGGCGGATGGAACAGAAATTCGTTAAAATTAACCCCAATTGTGGCGATCAACGTCAATGTTCATGTGGTTGATTTGAATGTTACAACGCTGCCTTTGAACTGTGGTTGGCAATGTCTGAACGAGTGATTGATGTTATGAGCAACGATCCAAGCCGTCGGGATACGATGACAGACAATCAACCAAGTCCCGGGGCTGACCACCAGATCCATTTAGTGAGTGAATGAGTGAGTTTGATTTTACACCGCTTTTAG